GTAGATGCGGACGACACTTCAGGCGGGATGATCGGTTGCCACATGGTACTGCGGTTGGTCGGTCAGTAAGAAATGGTTTCAGATTTTTGCATGACAAATATTGCAACCCATAGCAAAGGAACAGAAAATAGAAATAGTCTTCCACATAGGTAGAAATGAACACATATACATTGTACACAGACCGAAGGAAAGCATGTAGACAGACGTACAGGTATCGGAAGGCCGCTCAGGTCTGAGTGTGTCCCTGTGATTAACTCCAAGTAAACAGCCTGTCTTTGGAAAAGCAAGACACACGTTTCAGGACCCGAGTGAGGACCGCAAGCTGAGGAATGAAGATTGAATGCGATTGATTGGGAGGAGAGGAGTTTGACCTCCCCCAGCACACACTGCCCCCTACTGTTTGGATTTATATACATCAAAGAAACATTGGGGAAAGGGGAAGGGTTGCAACAACACATGCACACAACCAGTGAATCCAACAGTGACAGAAATTCTAAAACAAAGACCCCTCCAACGCCTAAAACCCAAATCCTCCCACCCTGTTTTGTTTATTTTTGATAACCAAACTATTACCCCCACCCTTCTCCCCCCACACCCAAGTCTTTCCATCCTCCTCCTCTCCCCACAAAATCACAGGTCATTCCTGTTGGTTTCTATACAGTTATACAATATCCATGCACAAAAGAAAAAAAAGTGCACCTTCTTTTCAACAGGAGGTGCTGGTCTTTAATATTCTAAGAACATCAGGAGCACTTGAACACACCCAGGAACCTTCAGAAGTAACTGTGAAACTGTTTTTTTTTCTTTTTGTTTTTTCAGAGAAAAGACAACTGAAAGGCAGAAGAAAGCTAACAATGGATATAAGGTTATTCCTCCTTTGGTTTAACATCAAATTTTTGGTTTATAATTCAACCCAAATCACATTTTTGTCATTTCTTTCTCTCTTTCTTTCTTTTTTTTGTTGTTTCTTTGAATGTAGGCGTCTGTGAGAGAGCTTTGAACTAAACATCTGAAGCGAGCAGCTCTCGCTCGTCTCCCTCTATTCTCGCCTTCTCTTCTGTCTCTTCTTTTTCTCGCGTGACCCTCCACAGAAACATTCACAATGTCTTTTCCTTTATGAAAACAGTAAGTACATGCCGTAGCAAAAAACAAACGAGAGAACGTACGAGAAAAATAAGCAAACGAATAAAAGGAATTTAACAGTATAAAGCTTCAAGTCACAAGTTCCAAAACTAACTATCATAGTATCATACTTTCATAATCATTGTTATCATTAGCAGTATTATTTTCAGTTTAAATTACATAAAGTTTACATGAAAGGTTTTTGAGGTATTTCAGAATTAATTGTCAACACACGCCTACCAAGTCCTAGCACTAGCCAGGGGGAAAGTTGACTGGACAGACAAGGTGGAGGGAGGGAGGAGAGAGTGTGTGTCTATAAACTGTCAGCGAGTCTTCCACACTTTTCCAGTGCAGCCTCTGTGCTTGCACGCAGTGGGGAGAAAGAAAGCCATTTGGCATTTAAGATTTTATAACAACAGCCCTCTGGGTGCTTACAGCCGCCGCCTCTTTACCCTTCTCTTTCTCTGTTACACAAAAATATCTCTGATGTGAGGAAGGTAAAGCGGCCGAGAGCGTAAGCAGGCCGGGCGGAAAGCAAAAGAGAAACACGAAGGCTGAGAGCTAGCAGAAGATCGACGATACGGCAACGAAGACTCCGACAGATTAAGGAGTAACATATAATTTTGTTTCAAATAAATAGCGTATAGAAAATGTTTTATAGACTTTCTACATGATAAAGTGCTTGTATTCTAGTGTATCAAGATGGAAAGTCAATATGGGAGAAAATGCTGACACAGCCCCCACTCTGTGTCCCTCTCTTTGGCCCCCCTTTCTGTCCATCCAATTATGGGTGCATTGTCTGTGTGAGCACACGCTTGTAAGTGGGTATGCCGCTATATGCATGCATCTGTGTGTGTGTGTGTTGGTGTGTGGGTGTGTGTCCAGTGCAGTCCCACCCGTGGTTGAAGGGAAAAGGCACTCAACTCTGTCTGCAAGGCAGCCACCTCCTCCTATGTGGCACAATGCAGTCTGACTGCGCTGTTAGTAGGAACATGTGTGTGTGTGTGTGCGTGTGTGCATAATATCATAAGTGTGTTTGTAACAGTTTGGGGCAAAGAGGGGGGGCTCTCGTTTTTTTGGTTTGTGTCCCCCTAGGCAGTTTGTGACTGGTAGGCTGCAGTATCTTTGGTATTAGTGGCGGTTTCACAAACCACTCAGCTTAGTGAGGTAGCCACATTGGTTCTCACTACTACAAACGTCATTTTGTCAGTGTCATTCCTAAAGCTGAATCTAGCTATTTATCTATGCTCACTGAACTGTATACCACAAGTCAATTTAAGCTCATCATCCTTTGGCGACGTTAACTCACTGCTTACAGCAACGTGAAGTTAGTCAGTACCTCCTGATCAGCTCCTCTACAATGACCACCTCTTATCTAATCTGCACTGCTAATCTGACTACATTGTTGGAAATGCTACAGTTGCATCTTAAGACCACACAGATAACTACGGAGTCCCAAGCGTAAACGCCCCGCGCCACCACCACCCCACCCTCCAATAAAACATAGCGAGTCAGCCAGGACATTTGGAGGTCATGTTTTGTCCCTCTTAATTTTACCCCATCCTCAGGGCTCAGCTTTAAAGGGGCGGGGGGGCTGAGAGTACCACAGTTCCGACACGAAATGCCAAAGGAGAGAAAGTGTCTGTCATTTATTCTTCTCTTCAGCAGCTCCCTGTTTCTCTTGTCTTTTCTCTTTCTTGTGGTAAATGTCCTGCAGGTCTATATTCACACAGAATGCAAAAAAGAAAAAGAAACAAAACCACGTCCTTCGTTGGCCTCAGTCCTTGCATCCTTCTTTTTTCCCTTTTAAAAAGTCCTTCCTTTTTTTGTTTCTGATTTATCAACAAGGTGCCATACTTATGCACAACAGAGCACAATAGTAACAAGAAATAGAAACTTTGTGTCTATGGTACTAATTAAATACCCGCATCAATATAGAGAGGAAGGGGGCGAGGGGTTGGAGGGGGAAATGGGGTTAGAGGGACAGAGGAGGTAGAGAACCAAAGATAGAATGAGAGATTTTCTTCTGCTTCAAAATGTGTCCAGTTATGCGTTGGAAACATTTTGTGTTGCACTGTATGTTTGGTGTCTTTCTCATTTGAGGTTTGGTTATTGTTTGCCTTTAAAATCAGATTCTTGTTTTTTTCTTTTCTTTTACTAAAAAAGTATAATTTCATTCAGTTAAAAGCTGATTGTTGGGCACTATGGCACACACCGCCCATCATCTGCAGGGCGCACTGTAACCGTGTGTTAACCATCGCACCGTTTTCTCTGACTCGCATTAAGGCAGTAAGCATTGGCACTAATTGTTGTAGCATTTTAACAGCTGAGTGTGGTGTTTAGCTTTGGGCTAGCTACTGATAACCCTTGTGTGGGAATAACCAGGTTTGACAGAAATCACATCTGTTGAATTTTTTTTTTTCTGCAAGCAGATGAAATGAATGAATGGAAAATCAATGATTTCATAAAACCTCTGAAAACTAATCTAAATGAAACCTCCACTGCACCACTGATGTGTCTTACTTAGGATGCCTTTCTGTTACATTTTACTCTGTTGTACTTTCCCCTTCCTCTCTTTGTGTAATTTTCTTGTATTCCGTTTGGATTGCCCAAATAAATCCCTGCCTTTGCAAAATCCCTGCATTTTCAGCATTCAGGCTAACCATCCCCCTCCTCCGGCTTCACCAGTGCTGGTTGGATGAGGAACAACAATAGGATAATGGTTAGCTATTGATCTGCCTTCAAAGAGCTGCGAGGCCTGAATGTGTTGTGCCATGACTTCTCCTCAGCATCTAGTGGCTCTTCCCTCCCTCTTCTCCACTCTGAACCCCCCTTGCTCTGCTGGATGCCGGTCTCTGCTTTCAACAGCAGGGGGCACTGTTGCTCTGCCAGCGCAGGCAAGGCTGACGAGGTGTGCTTGCTGCTGATGCTGCTAATGCTGCTGCTGCTGCTGCTGTAGTGAGGCCTTTGTGTCCCCATTTCCACTGGGTCTCATGTGCTCCTCTTACATTCTGCTTTTCCTATGCAGCTGTAATGTAGTTGGCTGGATGCCCGAGCGTGTTGTTGTCATCGTTCGGTTCTCAGTTATTGATTAGAGGAAAAGCTCCCAGCAGAACAAAGAGCATGTCCAGACATCTCACCCGCCTCTCCTGTTGGTCAGAGAAACGCAGACTCTGGGCTCAGGCTAAGAGTAACAACGACACGTCTCCCTGCAGGCCTCCCAACATCTGTGCAAAAAATATACGAGACCTGGGCCTGGAAGACCTGAGTATCTACTGGCGAGTGTCTTGAGTTTCACCTTCATGAGGGGGTCAAGGCCTCGCTCCCTCTCTGTCTGCATCGATTCATTTTTCAATTCATTAGTTTGCCGTATGATCAGGCCGAGCTGCTCTCTGAAATGGCTGGCCATCAGGGAATACCTTTGGCTGAGGAATGAAGGAGACTGCGGGAGGAGGAGGAGGAGGGGGGAGGTAGAGGCAGAGAACTGGAAAGCCTTGTTGTTTTTTTCATGGGCTGCGTTGTTTTCTTCATGACGGCCTTGTGTGTGTGCAGGATGGGGCTCTGATAATAAGGCTATGTGCTGTTCTGTTTTCAGATTTATTGCCGTTCTTTTGCCCTTGTTGCTTCCGTGTGCCGCTGTGTGTGTGTGTGTGTGTGTGTGTGTGTGGTGGGGGGGGGGGGGGGGGGGGGGGGGGGGGGGGGGCAGCGAGGAGGCAGACACAAAGGAGGTGAGTTGAGAGGAAAAAGCAGAATCAGTGGCTACTTGGGTGGTGAAGGAGGAGGCCTGCATCATGTAGATACCGCCCAACAGAAACGTCAAATCTTTGGTGTCGCTTTGCTTTGTCAGATGCCATAAAAATTATTTTCTCTCAAAAAAAAAGACAAAATCAATGATTGTCCTTGTGTGTGAGAAATGCAGAGTGGACCTGACTTCACACTTCACCTTTTTAGATTATGCTTGTTTCAGGTGAGAGCTTGAAATTTTAACTGATGTAAAAGATGATTGCATGGCACAAAGGATTTTTATATCGTGTAGAGGACACCTTCAGGCGCTCCGGGCCTGGCAGGGCTGTTACAGACAGGCTTCGCAGGGAATTTCCAGCGTCGCCTGTTGTTCCGGCCTGGTCCCTCGGCCCGCCGAAGGCCCTCTCCTGCTTCTCTCAGGCCTTGGAGAAGGTGGTGGCAGAGGTGCCTGGCTGCCCGGGGCTGGTACCGTGGTCATCGTGCCAGCGGTCCACACAGCGGCGGCGAGCATTCATGAAGAAGTTGCTGACGGTGCTGAGCTCCAAGCCGAGCTGCTGGGAGATGGTGATCTGCATTTCCTTGGATGGACGCTTGTTCTCCTTGAAGATGGCGATGAGTGTGCGGCGCTGCAGGTCAGTGAAGACTAGACGCTGTTTCTTGGGCGCCGTGTTGCGGTCCTTGTGTTGCTCCTGTTCTTTGCGCTTGCAGGCTTGGTGTGGATTGTACAGGTGGGAGGGATGGGAATGAGAGTGGGAGGCAAAGAGGAGAAAGAAAACACAACGCAAGGTAAATATACAAAAGTGATCATTTTCATGAAGTGAGAGCTGGAGGTGGAGGGAAGTAAAGTGCGTAAACTATAATTACCCTGTACTTAAACACATAAAACTGGTTCATACACCAGTGGAGATGCTATGGCTCCATCTCTATTGCCATATTAAAGTTGATTTAAAGCTAATCCATGCCTCCTGCCCAGTGGGACTATTCCTTCCATCCTGCAGAGTGCAGACAGGGACCCAGCCTGCGGTGAGAGAGAGAGAGATTGGGGGGGTGGGGGGCGCACTGGCTGTTGCCTGCTAGCTGGAGACACTGCTGTTTGATTCAATATTAATGCAGTTTGAGTCGCAATGGGGGACTGAGTGACTGTTGCACAAAAGTAAGCATTTTGTGTTTGAGTGTGCGTGTGTGGAAATGAAAGATAAAGGAGGGGCAAATGCAGGGAAAGAATAGGTTGGAGAGAGAAAAACAGAAAAGAAGCAGGAGTAAGACAAAGCGTGTGTGTGTGTGTGTATGTGTTTGTGTGTGTGTGTGTGCGTGCATGCGCGAGTGGGTGCAAGAACTAAAGAGAGTAGCTGAGATGAAGAGGGAGGGGTTGCGAGTGAAGGAGAAAGCGAGATATTGACCGACTTTGCTGTAGGAATTGGGGGGTTCTCTGTAGGGACTGAGGTCAGAATCCCCCCCCCAGCAGGTCTACAGTCTGCTACTTCAAACAGAGCCCACTGGAGCCCACTCTATTGAGCTCTGAGAGGGTATTTATAACCCCCCCCCCCCCCCCCCCCCGCACACCCCCACCCCTCCCAAACACAAACACTGGAGAGGTGCTTGCACTGGCTGCTATGAGCCCCTTCCCATACACAGAGCAATTTTCAAAAGAAAACACGCTGAGTGTACTCTTCTACGTTTGGGAGGGTGTCCGAGGGGGTGATGGGGTTGCGTGCTGCAAACGCAGAAATTAATAGTTAATGGGATGTAGGTAAGTGTGTTGTAAGTATTTGTAGGACACGGGTGGAAAGCAGCAGACAGGTGGAAGGTAAAAGGGAGAAATGGCGCCCAGAGATGGTGTAGGAGGAGTGTGTGTATGTGTGTGTGAGGTTAAGGCACCACCTCTGCAGCCACATGTTCCCCTGCTGACTGAGGATCGAATCCTGCCAGAACGCACTGTGTGTCCCTCTCAGCTTCCCTACTGTCTCAATAAAACGGGAGCAAATTGGAGAGAGAAAGCGAGCGGGAAAGATGCCATCCCTATGGGGTCTCCACCTGCTGCTGCTGGTATTGTCTGATACTTTCATACTCGCCTTCAGTAATGTCTCACTCTCACGCTGTGTGTGTGTGTGTGTGTCTTGTTGCATTTAAGGACAGATTTCTTTTTTTATATTCTCCTTGTGTGTGTGTGTGTGTGTGTGTGTGTGTGTGTGTGTGTGTGTGTGTGTGTGTGTGTGTGTGTGTGTGTGTGTGTGTGTGTGTGTGTGTGTGTGTGAGGAGGCTGTGATTATGCTGAAGTGGCTGGAGCCAAGCAGTGGCGCTGTGTGTCTAATTACAGTGGAGCAGAGCCCATTGATCAGCCATTGCAGTCCAATCTGTTTACTACAGATGTCTAACCTGCACACTTGCGCATCCATCATATTCATATTTCACATCAACACTGCTGCTATATATATCAGGCAAACATGCTAATATGCCACATACAAATTTGTCCATGCTTGTACGAACAGCGAGCGTATCATCATGTATAATACTTTGATTTATTAAAGGTTTAAGAGTAGTAATGATGGTGAGAAAAGGGAGGAGGAGGATGCCATTTCTTTAGTGTCTGAAATGATTCACAATAAGAAAAAAGTAGGACACTAAAGAATCAGAAAGACTACAACGAGAAAGCATATTCTTACTACATCATCATGTATTTATTGTATTTCTCTTTCTTGAAGATACTCTAAAAATGCCAAAGTAAATCCCACCTGGTAGTTCCAGGGATAAATATTGACAGGCTAGCTTATATCCCGGATTTCTTTGTCTCCTAAACCAATAAAAGTTCATATTTAAGATGTTTTCTTTTTCCCAATAAATGGAGCTGCTTACTTCATTCTAATGTATATGAACAGTTCATCATTTGTGTCTTCCTTTATAAAGAAACTCTGCTGAGAATTACTCTTTCAGTCACGTCAGAGTTTGAACATCAAGGTTCCAGTGATAAAGCTTAAGTGCTCAAACATTTCCAGGTGTGATGAAATCTCTATTTATTCTATACTCGACAACTTGTACTGGATCATCACGGCCATCGGGGAGAAGCGTACAGCCCATCAGAGACATGCCAGACAGTATGGATTAAACGTGTGTGCAAGAGGATTCGTTTCCCAGCAGGACAATGAGCCTAACATGTATCTAAGCTCCACCGGGCTTTTTTGAAGTCCGAGGAGGAGCAGCAGAGCAGTGCTGACATGTGTGACATGTCTGCTCCTATTCGAAACACAGAACCTCTGGAATGGTCGTGAAGAGTGCTGAGTTAATCATTTTTTCTTATAAAAGCTAAAAATACTAAATAACATTCAGCTTCATTTAAAATAGTTTTTTCAAGCTGGATTTTTAAATACGCTTCCCAAGATACCTGTGTTTATTAATGTAGCTCCTCGTTACACATGAGCATGGACTGCATCTCATACAAGAGTATTTTTGTTATGGGTTTTGCTGCTTTTAGTACAGCTTCTTCCATTTTTATCAATATAGATTGATTACTGTCTTTAGGTTAATAATAATAATAATAATGATGATGATATTTAATATATATTACAACACTCAGTTCTCCATTCATCTTATGCAGCTTCCAGCTGGTATGAGCAGCTTTACTTCCTCCTGTCTAACTTTTTTCTTCCTGTGTGGTTTGTCCAGACACACACACACAACCTCACACCAAAAATAGGACCCCTGTAAAAATCCCATCCAGCCAAATACAACAGCTTTAATGTTTTAAACGCTTTCAAAAATGTTTTCTCATTTATTTGTATTACGATTTATCAAACCGCATCATATCTCAAAGAGTTCCTAATGGTTAAATGTTCTCTCCAATGCCTAAAAGGTAAGAAACACACATCCAAACGTTTTCGCCGTGAGTGCACCTGTGCGTGGGGAAGATGCAGAGTCAGCAGGACGAGTGTTTCTCTCTTAATGTGCCTCCACAGCAAGCTGACACAGTCCCGGACTCTCTCCACATCTTCTCCACCGGATAGTCACGTTCTGCCACCTCATCGACCGCTTGCTTTGTTCCGTTTCTGTCGGTAGGTGTCGCTCTCGTCGTGGCCCGGCTGCACGGGGCGCCATAGCGCGCTGCCTTTGCTACAGGCGCTGGATTTAGTAATCGATATCGATCGATCGGTGAGGAAGGGGGCCCTGATTACTGAACCAAGCTCGGCGTAGAAAAGAAAAAAATCGATCATTGCAGCTTTTAGAGCTACAGTAGGCACCGAGCAGAGAGACGGACATAAACTCATGCACAAAGAGCAGCCGGACAGGAGCAGAAATCCTGATTTGGCGCTGGGTGTTTTCCGAGGTGCGCGTGATGCTGATAAAAAGAGAAATGAGATTTCTATTTCTCGCTTTGGAGCTGAGAGCAGGAGCTGACCTACTTTGGAAGAATCCCTCGAGCTCCTCGCTAACATAGAAAGATTGATTCTCACAGCCACGTTTGTCCCGCGTGCCGCTATTTTACGCACGTACATCATATACAGGCTACACAGGTGTAATATCATTGACCATGAATATGCGCACGCAGTGGAAGTCCAGTTAATCCTCATGAATGTCAGCGAATGTCCCCGCAGACTGACCCGTGCCTCCAGACATATGGAATTCTTTAATAATGCCTTTATGCGCGGATGAAAACGGTATAAGTTAGACTCATTTCTTTTCCACTGATGACATTAATATTCTTTGCTTCACGACAAACCAAGCGAGGTTAAGAGAAAGGCCCTGGGTGTCCAATATCGATCGATAGATTCGTGAATAATTCGTGTGTGAAATTCACTTCGTCCAATTAATTATGCCTCGGAGGGGGGAGTGGGCCTGGAGAGGAGATTCATGAAAGGGGCTGGAGACGTGAGAGCGCACCGGGCAGGAAGCGGAGTGATGATCCAGCTTTCTGTGCTGCTGAAACCCGAGCAGGAAAAGGAGTAAATTATCATCACCCGCTTCAGCTGTGATTTCTGCGCCCGGCTGAATACTCACAGCTGTCTTCACAAGGCCTCCTCGATCCCTGCAGATGTGAGCTCATCTGGAGCATTAATCATTTATCGATCATCGCTGCCCTTCCTGCTCATAATGAGAAAGTCAAACCGCCTAATATTGTGCCTGTATGAAACCACGATTACACATCTGCATAAAGAAACAGCCCTGCTTGTTTTCTAAACTTCTCTGGTTGGCCCTGTTTGTGATCCCTGGAAAGGAGACGAGGTCAACAGCGTATGCTGATTTAATTAATTTACCAATAAACATGTTTACGGGTTACGGTTGGGTGCCTTTATATGTATGCACACACACACACACACACACACACACACACACACACACACACACACACACACACACACACACACACACACACACAGTGCCTCCCCTTTATTGTTGGAATGCAGTGCTGTCCTCACTAATAATCCATGCAGGCTGCTTGTAGCTGTACTCTTCTTCACATGGAGCATGCGTGATTGGGCAGTTTGGCGTTAAAGCTTCGGCCTGTTTATTAAGTGACGTCTCTGCTGCTTTGCATGGGCTATTGCTCTAAAGATTGATAGCAGTGTGCATATATATCCACACGGCCCTCTCTGCAGACTGTGGCATTCGGTTGCAGGGAAGTGCCAAGCTCTCACTCTCTCTCTCTCTCTCTTTCTCTCTCGCCAGGCCAAAACACTTCCTGCTCAATACTCCTTAATGTAATGAGTGAGAATTGGT